CCTTTACCTATTGTCTCCTCTAGAGCCAAGCCTTTGCTAACTGTACCTTTGCTTACCTCCAACAGTACAACAAAACATCCACACCCTCAACCGGTTTTGACTAGAAAGGATACAGCTTGTCAAAATTGATTAGGAGGATAGGAGAACTTACACAGCAGGTTAGGATAATTAGGTTAAGGTTAAGAAAAGGGTTAGATAAAATGAAATAAAAATCTACTTTTGACATAAATCTGACATAAACTGTATCCAATCTAGACATGACCTCGTCAACCTGTCTGCCATGGCACAGCAGTCTTCTCTCCTCTTATAGCACTGGTCTGATCACTGTCTCAGTTTATCCTCTCAGTTCTCCTTGAGAAGGAGACCTCTCAACATTACAGCGTCTCCCTTCCCTTTCAAGGTAGAAAGCACAGTAGCATTCATTGTTTTCACCTCACCTCTCAGTTTGTGAAAGCCGCTCCAGCTTATATCACCTGATTTGTTGAGTGGAGGCGCTTGAAAACAGTCAGGAGAGATTTAATATTCATGCATCTAAAAGGGGAACATCGATGACAGGTATGATATGATAAAGAGAACATCAATGACAGGTATGATATGATAAAGAGAACATAAATGACAGGTATGATATGATAAAGAGGGGAACATCTAAAAGGAAAGGACAGTAGCATCAGGTTAACTGGGAGGGAACCTAACTTTAGTCAGGAGCCCAGAGGATTTAGCAGCTGTCACAGACAACTCAGAGAGGAGAGACGGAGGAGGAGGAGAGATGGAGGAGGCGGCATCAAAGGCAAAGGAAAGTATTGTCTGTGTGTGTGGATGAACACAGCATCTTAGGCATGGTTGCAATTTGAACCAGGCTGCACTGCAATGGGTGCCACTTAGGGGAGGTTAAGGTCAATGTAACCCTATTTCAACTCAAAACATCACTATGGCTCTATTTCATTTTTACATTTACATTTTAGTCATTTAGCAGACGCTCTTATCCAGAGCGACTTACAGTTAATGAGTGCATACATTTTCATACTGGCCAACCCCTGTGGGAAACGAACCCACAACCCTGGCGTTGCAAGCGCCATGCTCTACCAACTGAGCTACAGGGGACTACACTGAAATTAAATTAATTCATTGAAAAGTCCATATAGAAAATAAGGACAATACATTTCAATTAATTCACTGATATAGAATCCAAGCGTGCCTATAAACCAGGCTACCTCTAGACATTATGGTCCTCCCAACAGGAGCCGTCCTGAACTAAACTACATCATCATGCATTGCCAGACCATGCCCTCCCACCAGCATTGACCCGTTGCCCGTGGCGACCAGAGTGTAGGGCCACGGCAACGTAGAGGCGGGCCAGTAGGTGGTACAGAACCCCTCTGTCACTCACATGGTAACCGTCACTTACTGCTTGTCCCGTCATCAATCTGGTGGTCTAACAACCTCAGCAGGAGGACAGGAGGGCCGTGCCCTAGGCCGCTACCCCACACAGAGAGCACTCTGTTGGGCTAAGAGGGGACACAACACAGGGGTAGCCTGGGTCTCTCCCAGAAGGAAGACAGGGGGGCCGTGCACTGGGCCTCTCCCAAACAGAGAGTACTCTGCTGGGCAAAGAGGAGTCACAACACTGGGGGAGACCCACGGTCCAGCACGGATCTCTCCCACAGAGCAGCCAGACACACCTCTGGATGAGAGCCTAATGTAGAGGAATATTGATGAGGACAGCACGTAGAACAGTTATTTAACGCATCTCTATGGAGGACCGTTTGTACGGTGGCGTAGCCATAGAATAGAATCACTAGAACAGACATTCCTATGCATTTTCTATGGTGCAGGGTCACTGCTGCCGATGATTGGGGATCCATCGGAATTAGCCTAGCTAGAACACATGCACGGACTCTTGTTTTTATAATGATGCAAAAGAAACAGCCAGCGAAGACAGGCATACGAACTACCAAGTGAAGTATTCCTTACCATGTCCCCTCTGCCTTTTACTGTGTTTGGGATTACTGACCGAATGCACCGAGCCACAGACACAGTTTGCTGTAAATACATAGGACATAAGGTCAAAGTTAGGCCCTATATAAAGCAGAGACACGAATGCAAACATTTTACCATATTGAAGCAATACATATACTAGTGATAAACATGATCTGGGAGTGAATAAGGTGGTGTATGTCCAATCAAATACAATCATAAGACAGACCACCTGCTGAGTAAGGAGGAAGACTGTTCTGTTCCTAAGCAACAACACTCTTACAAGCTCCATCTAATGTCTTGGGAGATTCGGACCTGCTCGGGATGCAGACAGGAGGATTCGGAGGCACATTGGAATAACAGACAACTTTAACTAGGCCAAGTTATGCGCCTGCTCTCTGGGTAGTCATGGTTTCCAGTCTAACATTTCTGTTGTGATATTTCATAAACTAATGTCTGACTACTCTCTGGGTATTACAGTCTCTTTGTCTACTAGGAGTTGAGATACTTAACAAAGGAAATGTAATTCCTACTTCATAAATGTACTTTTCTCCCACCACAGACAATTAAACAATTTAGGAATTTCTGAGATTTCACTGAAATGTTTTAAATCAAGTTAAAAAGTAATTCACATTTTAAAATTAACAGAAATGTGATGAAAGATCGGATAATGTATGCACTGCCATTTTAACCATGGGTCTCTCATAGCACAAATCAACAACCCAGGGCTTCCCAAACTCAGTCCTGGGGCCCCGTTTTGGTTTTTGCCCTAACACTACACAGCTGATTCAAATGATCAAAGCTTAATGATTAGTTGATCATTTGAAATCAGCTGTGCAGTGCTAGGGCAAAAACCAAAATGTGCACCCCTTCGGGACCCGAGGACAGAGTTTGGGAAACCCCGACCAAACAGAAATGACTCATTGACTAGCGGTAAAAAACCGCAGGGTTAAGAGTCCGCTGTGTTGTTATGTGGCTGCGTCGGAACTTCTTGCTGCGTTTTTCCTCACACAGTGGTGGGGTACTTCGAACAATAAAACAAGACAAGCATATCTTTGCAACAAGGTAGACCTTTATTTGTGAAAAAAAAAGTACAATACCTCGTCCTTACAAATACGCCTGAGAAAAAACGTTCAACGGAAAAAGAACATTGTAAGAACAGGGGAAATAACATTTCAATCGTAGTCATTGAAGAAAACGCACCGTAGGTTGACAGTGGTCTTAATTCAGACTGATCGTTTAACATACAAGTCCACACGATTAGCACAAACAATCGAAAAAAATATATATATAATTTTGTTAATACATCTATAAAACTTTCCAAAAAACAGTGAACAAAAATAACTTGCTTTCTTTGCTAACCCTACTAACAAGTTTTTAACCCGTTGACTATTCTCACAAATTCCAATTCCATTATGACGTGACCAAGCAAATCCAAAATGAATAGCCAAAAGACAAATTGGTCTTGTTGCACTAAACCCTCTATGTAATGTTACAATAATTATTTATATTCAAATTGCACCATTTAATGCAACATTTAAAAAAAAATCCATCAAGGCTAAAGCTTTTATATTCTAAGCAAAATAAAAGCATTGTTTTTCATCATTTGAATGTTATTGTACAAGACAGACACTAACGGTTACTGTACAATGCATGTATACATAGAATCAAAATGAGTTCTATGCCCATTCTAATCATTGTGATTCTATGCATGTATATCTGAACGCTCTAGTCAAGACACCAGACCACTTCTCTACTGTACACTCCACCCACAGCTCTCTGGCTGCTGGCACCTTCTCTTACTGTACGCAGTCCTCGGACATTACCTCAACGTTAGCGTGAATGTAGAAAGATCGCTAAACTCCTAACTCCCTGTGTCACCTCTAGATTATAGGACATGCATCCCAGAGAGATAAAACTACACTACTCTGTTCCCAGAGACATTGTGAGCTTTTTTTGGTCACAGTTATTGTGTTGTATATGTACTTAAACCTGATGTAGTTCCATTAGCAAGCGTCAACAACTGCATGTCTGACTGCGTCCATGTCTTTGTGGCTCTTCCAGAAAAATCTTAACACCCTCATACCCTACCTATACACCCTGAAGGTCACCTCACATCCCAACAGTTGTCTGACAGACAGTGATTACCTGGTGATGGATTATAGGCTGCGGTCCCAAATGGCGCCCTTTTCCCTTCAGTGAACAGGGTTTGAAATAGTGCACTATATTAGGGCCCTCAAACTCGAACTCTGGACCTCCAAGCCAGTTCCCACTGCGTTTAAAATTGTTCCCCTCTAAAATCAGGGACTGATTTGGACCTGGGACACCAGGCGTGTGCAATTAGTTATCAGGTAGAACAGAAAACCAGCAAGGCTCCGGACCTCATAGGGTAAGAGTTGAATACCCCTGATATAGTGAATAGGATGATATTTGGGATGCAGACATAACCTGTTATAGAAGACAGTAAATAACAGATTAGAACTGGCGTATGTGAGCACATCTGTCTGCAGAGTCACTGTGACATCTTTGTGCAACATCCTACTCCTTCCAGTAGCTCTGGAAGAAGTAGGATGAAGATGCCTCAACGCTGATCATGGGACAGTTTTGTATTTTCCCCTCAAATGGTTAAGGTGAAGACACAGGGGAAGGTGAGCTGATCCTAGATCTGTGCCTATGGGACAACTTTTACCCTTTAATTGAACCAGTAAGGTAGAGGTTGGACGCTGCCTAGGAGAATCCAGCAGAAGGGTAACATCGCCCTCTTGTGAAGATAGTTGCAGCTACGCCCTGCATGTCAACTGACAATGTCCCTGGTCGACAGAGCGCTGTCTGTGTCTGTCTGTCTGTCTAGTAGCCTGTGCGTCCGCCCTGTCTGTCTATCCGTCTGTCTGCAGTACTGTGGGCATTCCGTGGCGGAAGACAAGTAGGTACATTAGGACATCCACCGTAGCGTTCAGGGGTTGGGGGGGGGGGGGGGGGGGGGGGGGGGGGGGGCGAAGTGGCTGGGTAGGTGCGTCTGTCCTCTCCTATCTGCTGAGACGAAGCTTGATGGAGTTCTTCACCACTGGAATGTGGTTGGCTGGCAAGAGAGGCACGTCTGACAGATCCGCACTGACAATTCTCTGAGGGTAGAGAAAGATTATTAAGTTGTAGTTTGGCTGTAAAACGCACTATATAAACAGACCAAAGAGGAGATTTTCAGAAAAGTATCTGTAGCCTACTTAGAATTATGAGTGAGAGAAAATGAGACTCCTTTGTTAATGTAATGTTTACCGTTACCTTAATGTCTGCCTCCATCTTCACTTCCCCTTCAGAAGCAGCCATCTCCTCAGATATATTGTCCTCGTTGACCTGGGAACACCAGGACCCACATAACAGTTTATCACAACTACTAGGCTTGGGTGGTATACCGTATATACCAGGGCATTTGGAAAAAGCCACGGGCTGGTTTTTCAATACCGTCCAAAAAAACGATGACGTTTTTCAATACATTTGAATAATTGTAATTTATAAGTAAATACCTGCAGTCAACTTGTGCAATACATTAGGAGACGCAGAGACACAAAAATGGTATCCATACATGAAATTGGGACATGATAAGCTTGTTGTGTACCTCTGCCTCCACAGAGGTAGCTGCAGCACTATCCTCCGTCCTCTTCGTCTCTGGGACTACGGAGGAGTCCTCCTCCATCTGGTGCTCCTCAGGGCTCTCCTCTTCCAGCACCTCCTGGTCAGGGGTCTTGTGGGCCACTGGGGCACCCAAGGTGGGGGGAGGAGAGGGGGTCTTGTGGGCAGCTGGGGCACCCAAGGTGGGGGGAGGAGAGGGGGTCTTGTGGGCCGCTGGGGCACCCACGGTGGGGGGAGGAGAGAGGGTCTTGTGGGCCGCTGGGGCACCCAAGGTGGCGGGAGGAGAGGGGGTCTGGGGGGCCGCTGGGGCACCCATGGTGGCGGGAGGAGAGGGGGTCTGGCTGCTGGGGACTGGGTCTCCTGAAGGCTGTCTCTCAGCGGCTGACTCCTACAAGAAACAGAGGGGAGGAGAACATTATCAAACCGGATCAATAACTGAAGTCTACTGTCCCAAAATGGCAGCAACAACTTTTATGTGGTGTATACATGTTGTACACTCTGTAAAATCCTGGCTGCACAACAACTATTCATTTCTCTACTGGGACAATTAATATTGAATAGAATACCTCTGCGTCTGATTTGATCCTCTTCCTCTCTTCCTGCATAGGGGAACCAGGTCTTTTCACAGCTGGGGGACACATGGTGGAAGCTGGGACCTCTGGCTGGCTGGCTGCAGCCGCGATAGGGCTGGGAGGGGGACCTAGTGGGCCACTCTTCACTGGGGTCGACATGGGCACAGCAGCTGGCACGGCCGTGGGTGAGGGCACTGACATGCTGTTGTCACTGTCCAGCGATAGGTCCAGACTACTGTCATTCATCTGACGAAGCCCCTCTGTAGAGTGCTACAGAACAGAACAGAACAGAACGGGTTACAGCCGTCAGCAGAATATCTGTTCCACTTCTATAGTTAAAACCACGGGCTGAAAATGCATATGCGAATGGTTTCCTTTCACATACAGCTGTAGGTTGATCAGAGGTAGAGGGATAGAGGGAGTCTGTCGTACCTTCCTGCGTCTGGGCATGACCAGGTTGGGCAGTAGCTGGTGTAGTTGTCTCTTCTTCACATGCATGGCCTGGATCTTCATGTCCGCCTCAAACATCTTGCTGTTCATCGCCTGGCGGTACACTGCAGGAAACATTTAGAAAATAACAATGATTACGGTCCTTTTTATATAACATTAACAGGCCAGTGTGTCAAATAATAGAAACAGGACAATAATCAATCTGGAATGTTTCTAATTCTACATCCCATGGCGTATGACTGAGATATATTGAGTGAGGTGATCATACATACCCGTGTCAGTGAAGGACTGGATGTCAATTGTCAGGTCAACGTTGAGGTTCTCTGATGCCTCCATCTTCTTAAAGATGACCCCTATCACCCACATGGTGCTGACCTCCTCTCTGAGAAAGACCGAGAGACAGACACAGAGCGGAGAGAAGAGACAGACACAGAGCGAGAGCAGAGAGACAGCGAGCACAGAGAGAACAGAGCGAGACCGAGAGAAACGAGCGAGAGAGCAGAGCAGAGACAGAGCAGAGAGACAGAGCGAGAGAGAAGACAGAGCACAGAGAGACAGAGCGAGAGAGACAGAGCGAGAGCGAGAGACAGAAGACGAGAGGAGAGAGAGACAGAGAGAGAAGAGAGAGGAAGAGGACGAGCGAGAGAGAGAGACAGAGCGAGAGAGAGAGAGAGACAGAGCGAGAGAGAGAGCGAGCGAGAGAGACAGAACAAGCGAGGAGAGAGACAGACACAGAGCGAAGACGAGAGAGACAGACAACAGAGCGAGCGAAGCGAGAGAGAGAGCGAGAGCGAGACAGAACAGAGCGAGAGAGAGACAAGACAGAGCGAGGAGAAGAGAACAGAGCGAGAGAGAGACAGAGCGAGAGCGAGAGAGACAGAGCGAGAGCGAAGAAGAGAGACGAGAGCGAGAGAGACAGACGAGCGAGAAGCAGAGAGACAGAAGCGAGAGCGAGAGAGACAGAGCGAAGCGAGAGAGACAGAGCGAGAGCGAGAGAGACAGAGCAGAGAGCGAGAGAGACAGAGCGAGAGCGAAGAGACAGAGCGAGAGGAGCAGAGAGAGAGACAGAGCGAGAGACGAGAGAGACAGAGCGAGAGAGAGACAGAGCGAGAAGCGAGCGAGGAGAGACAGAGCGAGAGAGAGAGAGACAGCAGAGCAGACGAGAAGCGAGAAGAGAGAGACAGAGCGAGAGAGAGAGAGACAGAGCGAGAGAGAGAAGACAGAGCGAGAGAGAACAGAGCGAGAGAGAGAGAGACGACGAGAGAGAGAACAGAGAGAGAGAGACAGAGCGAGAGAGAGAGGACCAGAGCAGCAGAGAGACCAGAGCGAGAGGAGAGAGACAGAGAACGAGAGACAGAGCGAGAGAGAGACAGACACAGAGGAGAGAGAGACAGACAGCGAGGAGCAAGAGAGAGAGAGCAGAGCGAGAAGAGAGAGACAGAGCGAGAGAGAGAACAGAGCGAGAGAGAGAGAGACAGCAAAGAGAGAGAAGAGAAGACAAGAGAGAGAAGAGAGAGCGAGAGAGGAGAGAGAGAGAGAGAAAAGACAAGAGCGAGAGAGAGAGAGACAGAGCGAGAGCGAGAGAGCACAGAGCAGAGAGAGAACGAAAGAGAGCGAGAGAGAAGACAGAGCGAGAGAGAGAGACAGAGCGAGAGAGAGAGACAGAGAGCGAGAGAGAGAGAGACGAGAGAGAGAACAGAGCGCAAAAAGCGAGAGGAGAGAAGAGCGAGAGAGAGAGAGGAGAAGAGACCGAGACAGAGCGAGAGAGAGAGACAGAAGCGGAGAGAGAGAGAGAGCGAGAGAGAGAGAGACAGAGCGAGAGCGAGAGAGACAAGCGAGAGCGAGAGAGACAGAGCGAGAAGAGACAGAGCGAGAGAGACAGAGCGAAGAGAGACGAGGGAGCGAGAAGAGGAGACAGAGCGAAGAGAGACAGAGCGAGACGAGAGAGAGAGACAGAGCGAGAGAGACAGAGCGAGAGAGAGACCGAGCGAGAGAAAGAGGACGACGAGAGGAAGAGGAGAGACAGAGCGAGAGAGAAGAGACAGAGCGAGAGAGAGAGACAGAGCGAGAGAGAGAAGACAGAAGGCAGAGAGAGAGAGAGACAGAGCGAGAGAGAGAGACGGAGGAGAGACAGAGCGAGAGAGAGAGAACAGAGCGAGAGAGAGAGAGACAGAGCGAGAGACAGAGCGAGAGAGAGACGAGACAGAGCGAGAGAGAGAGAACAGAGGAGAGGAGAGAGACAGAGCGAGGAGCGACGAGAGAGAGCAGAGCGAGAGCGAGAGAGACGAGGAGGCGAAGAGCGAGAGCGAGAGAGCGAGAGACGACAGAGCGAGAGAGACAGAGCAGAGACAGAGCGAGAGAAGACAGAGCGAGAGCGAGAGAGACAGAGCGAGAGCGACGAGCGAGAGAACAGAGCGAGAGAGACAGAGCGAGAGAGAGGAGAGAGACAGAGCGAGAGAGAGAGAGAGAGAGACAGAGCGAGAGCGAGAGAGACAGAGCGAGAGCGAGAGAGACAGAGCGAGAGCGAGAGAGAGAAGCGACAGAGCGAGAGAGACAGACAGACATAGCGAGAGAGAGAGAGACAGAGCGAGAGAGAGAGAGAGCGAGAGAGACAGAGCGAGAGAGAGAGAGCGAGAGAGACAGAGCGAGAGAGACAGAGAGAGCGAGAGAGACAGAGACCAGAGCGAGAGAGACAGAGACAGAGAGAGAGAGAGAGACAGAGACAGAGAGAGAGACAGAGACAGAGCGAGAGAGACAGAGACAGAGCGAGAGAGACAGAGACAGAGCGAGAGAGAGACAGAGACAGAGACAGAGCGAGAGAGAGACAGAGCGAGAGACAGAGACAGAGCGAGAGAGAGAGACAGAGCGAGAAGAGAGAGAGAGAGAGAGACAGAGCGAAGAGAGAGAGAGACAGAGCGAGAGAGAGAGAGAGACAGAGCGAGAGAGAGAGAGAGAGAGACAGAGCGAGAGAGAGAGAGAGAGAGACAGAGCGAGAGAGAGAGACAGAGCGAGAGAGAGAGAGAGAGACAGAGCGAGAGAGAGACAGAGCGAGAGAGCGAGAGCGAGAGAGACAGAGCGCGAGAGACAGAGAGCGAGAGACAGAGAGCGAGAGACAGAGAGCGAGAGACAGAGAGCGAGAGACAGAGAGCGAGAGACAGAGAGCGAGAGACAGAGAGCGAGAGACAGAGAGCGAGAGACAGAGAGCGAGAGACAGAGAGCGAGAGCCAGAGAGCGAGAGACATACAGACAGCGCGAGACAGACAGACAGACAGTGCGAGAGCGAGAGATACAGAGCGAGAGAGAGAGACAGACAGACAGAGCGAGAGAGAGAGACAGAGCGAGAGACAGACAGAGCGAGAGAGACAGACAGAGCGAGAGAGAGAGAGAGCGAGAGACAGACAGACAGACAGAGAGACAAGGAGAGACTGATGAAAAAGAAACAGTAGACCATGTCCATGGTCAGGTAAGAGCTTCTTTCAATCTTGCATTAAAAATAAAGTAATATACTCACTTCTCCCGACTTTCCTTGGGTCCAGGGAATGACTGGGGGTTGACATGAGCCAACGTTATGAACTCATTCTTCTCCAGGTTCCCGACTAGGATCCTGATCTTAGACTCAACCAGACCAACCCTGCAGCGACAGAGAAAATAACACTTTCAGCTATCTATTCCCCAACAGTAGACTGATAAAGACCCATCTTCTTGCTTTAGGAGCAACATTGAAACGCAATAATGCTGTACACTGGCTCCACCCTCATATAATCTAATTCACATCCGAAGGTTTTCCCAGTTTTTTCCCAGTCAGTACTCACCACTCCAGGTGCTGCTTCTCGGTGGGGGCGCTTGCTAGCAACACAATATAATGCCTTGGAACATAAGAAACAGAACAATCCCATTACACCCTAAAGACAGCAGCCAGGCAACGAACCCAGGCTAGGAGAGAGCCCCAGACACATAGGCCCAGACCAGATCGCCACCACTCTCACAGCATGTCATGGAAATCGTTTTTTTATAACACACTTCTCTCAAACTAAAACTGATAAAAACTGCAGGACTAATACCAAAGTGTGTTAAGCCAATAAATGACACACAAACATCCATAGCTGACGTGACACTGTCTTAGAGCAACATGTCCCAGTAGCAGCCACAAATTCTCCATAGCACATCAATCTAGTCAGATAAAACCAATTGTAAGTACCACGATAATTTACACTCCAAATCATAATGTCAGAGAATGAACCTGATTCAGTCTATAAAACATGTCTTCCACAATATTAAAGTATCCTGAAAGTCACTATTGTACTATAACTGAACAAAACTAGTATTGTGTGTCTGTGTACAATCTACATGCAGTTACCATAGTAGCGCCATAAAGTTATTTCTATGCTTTGTCTGGAATAGCTCTACCTTGCATCTTGTTGAAAACCAAATCACAGGAGCTTGTGTTCAGATTATTTCCCCATGAGGTTACAACAATATAAATAGTTTTACAAATGACAAGCAGATTAAAAAATGGAAAGGATAGTTTTTTCATTTTCAGGCCACATTGAAAATAAAAGGTCTGAGCCTGGGATAAATGATTGATTTATTCAAACAACAGTTACAGAGAAACCAGTGCAGTAATCAGCAGGACACCACCCAAGTCAGCAGGATGGTCTGATTCTGAAATCTGTTAATCAAGCCTGGTGTGTGTAAAAGAGTCTAACCTGGATGATAATCAAAGTGTAATTGTGACCGTCTCCTCTAAAGCTCCTGTCCAATCCACAGGCTGGATGTATTTATTCACTTTAAAATTATTCTCCATTTTTTCAGGCTCTACAGTGCTGTAAAAAGGCTATCCAGAATGTGCTGCTGCATTTTCTCTGCCTGCAACCCAGTTGTTTAAGGCAGGGTGTGCTGCCTGCAACCCAGAGGAGGAGGAGTTGTGTTTAAGGCAGCGTGTGCTTCCAGAAACTCAGAGAAGGTGTGCTTAGCCAGGGTGTGCTTAAGGCAATATATCAAAATCTTCTGAAACTTTTCTGGCCAAGAAAGGGTGGATGGATCAAACTGATTTCCCAGAAGACTTTGATGGTATTTCACACTTCAAATGGAGCACTCCAGTAATGGAAGATTTTGGTAAATGAAGGAGAGGATTGGATCACTTCATTCACTATAGAACACTTAAGACAAAGGGGAGGGGATTGGGCAGCAAAAAGCTTTGCATTCTGATTGGGGCTGCAAAAGAAGAAATGCCTCCTCTTCCAAGGACAATGCCTCTTGGGTAACAGAACTGTGGCCACTGTCCTATCATCACACTCTTGCATACTACTGATAAACCAATTAACAACTTATCTAGCTATTTATCCCTCCCTCTATACACAGATTTCAACACTCAAGTACATTTCTCAAGATTGCGCAGAACTGATATTGAAAATGGAATCCAGGATGTGAGTTAGTGATCTGGATCTATACATTACCCACAATGCATAGAATGAAACTGAAAGTGCCAATGACGCTTTAATTTTTGGTAATCTTCACATGGCTTCCTGCTAGCGCTGTGCTACAATTTACGGATTTATCATGATCGAAACTTGATAAGGAAAATAAAAAGACATGTCTACAAAATCAAGACTAACAAGAAATACATTGTGCAAATTGTGAACTAAAGCATTTTATTTGGGAATTGATACACAATATAACAAGACAAGGAAAACCAGGAGACGGTTTAATATTGGAATCCTTACAACTGAAGTACCTACCTTTAGTAAAATATTAAAATATACAAACATTGAGTTGTGCTTACATTAGAGGCACAGTCTATACTAAATATTACTGATAACACTGGGCTTCAGGCCCTGCATAACGTTAACATTGTATTTGCTTTTGTGAAAAAAATTTGGTGAATCAAAAAAGGGTGCTTAGGTAAGAAGAAAGATTCTTTTGAGTCTTGTCTAAAAGCCTGAAATGTATATTTAATAATACAAAATAATTCAAACTGAATGAGTGGATTACATAAACAGTTGAATATAAAGAAGAGAACTTCACATTTACTGAAAATATAGTATATTGGTATATTTAGAAAATATACATCTTTATTGAAATAGTTGGTTTGTCTCACCATGTGTGTCCCACAGGATAAGCTGCTTAATACATACTTGTATTTCTGAAAGAAGTTTGGTGCTTCAAATAGTTTGGCCCACTCTGCTTTATTCTGCAATATTTCATCTGTAATTGCCAGACCTGTGGAGGGAAGGAGGAAGGAAAACGTGTTTAACAACGAGGACAACCAAAGGAAAACTACAGATGAGACAACGTATCTAGGCTACAATAAAGTAGAGGACGTTAGGAACCCCTTGAGAAAAAAAAAGGGGGAAAAAGGCCAGACTAGACGGAATTTACTTGATACGCTAAACGTACATTTGAGCAAACTTCCCTTTGACATCAACGTATCGTTTATGTGAATGTTTGAGTACGTTTTTCCACTCAAGTCTTAAGTTAGGACTCTGACCTGAAGGGTTTTGTATAAAAATAGCAAAAAGTCTGTGTATAAAAGTTAGAAATGGCGACGGCTAACGGACCCTGTTTGAACTCGTCCACCATGACGGCCCGTGTGGAGGCGGAGACGTTGTAGGTGGAGTTCTGCTGGGGGTAGGCAGGTGTGATGATGGGCATCAGGTGGTACCGGTCACTGGGGGTCACCTGGAACAACACAGTGATACATTCTCAGAGAGCTTAAAATGGGGATACAGGGCCTCTAGCAGGGTTGGAGTCAATTCAGTCAAGTTGATGACATACTCAGCCTCTAATGCAGTTGAATCAAATGGTTTGTACTGGAACAGATTAAATAAAGTGTGACTGACTCGAGGTACAGGTCACAGGAAAAACCTCTGGCCCTAGACTTTAAAAATTGTTAATACAAGTGGGATGTGTCTGTGTCCTGGAGGAACAGGTGTTTAACCCCTTTAAAAAAATCACAAGGTTTTTTTTTTTTTTTTGGGGGGGGGGGGGGGGGTTTGGCAGCTCTGCTAGTAAAATGCTTTAAGCAGTTAAATTCATTTTTATGACAGTCCTTTATGTATTAGTGTTGCTCAGGACAGGACTAGTATCAGTATGAACAAATCTAGTTATGGACCAACATTACCCTGGGGTCCCAGACTGGCAGGTTGAGGTTGCAGTCCTCTGGCTGCTTCAGGAGAACAGGGTTGGGCCATTCCCTGCAACACAACTCAAGTTCAGTGTGATGATACGGACCAAGTATACCATCAGTCAGACAACCCTTTACACACACCATCTTGTTTGACTATGGTCCTAAGAAATACAGGAGTAATTACAGCTGCCACAAGCACCGAGAAAATGTGACGACAATCAGGTTTTTTTCTGGATCAAAAAACACTTTGGACTTAGGCGACTCGAAAACACCTTTAGGCGGCCGCCACAAGGACTAGAATGGCAGAACAATCCCTCACCATAATATAGAAAGGGTGTTCTATGGAATCACATTTCATAACAGGGTTTCCGGTAGGAAACTTTAACCTTTTGGGCCATTTTTTGTTTTGTTTTTTTGCAGATAAATAAAAGTTGCCTGTAAAAATGACAGGGAGCAAAAATATCTGATTGCAAAATAATGTTTTTTTTATTCATTGATGGAAATACCAGCCAATGGAAACACATTTGACCGTCATGCTTATTGGTCTATAGCAAGGGTATTCAGCACAATATGCATAATTGAGTGGAATTAAATTGCCATGCAAGTAGATGACTCCACCTAGTTGGAAGGTATAAAGATGTGTTTGTGTGACTTGTATGTTTTCTTTGCAGCTGTATGACCCAGTGGGTGAATAAACTTGGTTTGAGCTTTTTCTAGTTGTCCGTTTTAGTTTTTTTAACTCCGTTTGTTCAGAACATTATCCATCAACTATCAGACGCGCACAGAGCCTATTTTGAGCAGGATTTATCCTGCAGCTCCTCAGCTGGTTAAAAAAAAGGATATATATATATACAGTGGGGAGAACAAGTATTTGATACACTGCCGATTTTGCAGGTTTTCCTACTTACAAAGCATGTAGAGGTCTGTAATTTTTATCATAGGTACACTTCAACTGTGAGAGACGGAATCGAAAACAAAAATCCAGAAAATCACATTGTATGATTTTTAAGTAATTAATTTGCATTTTATTGCATGACATAAGTATTTGATACATTAGAAAAGCAGAACTTAATATTTGGTACAGAAACCTTTGTTTGCAATTACAGAGATCATACGTTTCCTGTAGGTCTTGACCAGGTTTGCAGACACTGCAGCAGGGATTTTGGCCCACTCCTCCATACAGACCTTCTCCAGATCCTTCAGGTTTAGGAGCTGTCGCTTGGAAATACAGACTTTCAACTCCCTCTAAAGATTTTCTATTGGGTTCAGGTCTGGAGACTGGCTAGGCCACTCCAGGACCTTGAGATGCTTCTTACGGAGCCACTCCTTAGTTGCCCTGGCTGTGTGTTTCGGGTCGTTGTCATGCTGGAAGACCCAGCCACGACCCATCTTCAATGCTCTTACTGAGGGAAGGAGGTTGTTGGCCAAGATCTCGCAATACATGGCCCATTCCATCCTCCCCTCAATACGGTGCAGTCGTCCTGTCCCCTCTGCAGAAAAGCATCCCCAAATAATGATGTTTCCACCTCCATGCTTCACGGTTGGGATGGTGTTCTTGGGTTTGTACTCATCCTTCTTCTTCCTCCAAACACGGCGAGTGGAGTTTAGACCAAAAAGCTATATTTTTGTCTCATCAGACCACATGACTTTCTCCCATTCCTCCTCTGGATCATCCAGATGGTCATTGGCAAACTTCAGATGGGCCTGGACATGCGCTGGCTTGAGCAGGGGGACCTTGCGTGCGCTGCAGGATTTTAATCCATGACGGCGTAGTGTGTTACTAATGGTTTTCTTTGAGACTGTGGTCCCACCTCTCTTCAGGTCATTGACCATGTCCTGCCGTGTAGTTCTGGGCTGATCCCTCACCTTCCTCATGATCATTGATGCCCCACGAGGTGAGATCTTGCATGGAGCCCCAGACCGAGGGTGATTGACCGTCATCTTGAACTTCTTCCATTTTCTAATAATTGCATCAACAGTTGTTGCCTTCTCATCAAGCTGCTTGCCTATTGTCCTGTAGCCCATCCCAGCCTTGTGCAGGTCTACAATTTTATCCCTGATGTCCTTACACAGCTCTCTGGTCTTGGCCATTGTGGAGAGGTTGGAGTCTGTTTGATTGAGTGTGTGGACAGGTGCGTTTTATACAGGTAACGAGTTCAAACAGTTGCAGTTAATACAGGTAATGAGTGGAGAACAGGAGGGCTTCTTAAAGAAAAACTAACAGGTCTGTGAGAGCCGGAATTCTTACTGGTTGGTAGGTGATCAAATACTTATGTCATGCAATAAAATGCAAATTAATTACTTAAAAATCATACAATGTGATTTTCTGGATTTTTGTTTTAGATTCCGTCTCTCACAGTTGAAGTGTACCTATGATAAAAATTACAGACCTCTACATGCTTTGTAAGTAGGAAAACCTGCAAAATCGGCAGTGTATCAAATACTTGTTCTCCCCACTGTATATATATATGCGAGAAATAAAAAAAACTTATTGGAAGTGATGCAGACAATTACATTGACGGAAGTTACAATCTATCTGCAATATTAAAGCTGATCTATCCCCTAATTAAAAATAATATATATATATATATTCTTAAACACACAAGACAGATAAACCAGACCCATGCTCATTGCTCACATGGAGCACTCCAAACAAAATATAATTTAAAAAATGATGGTTATGTAATAAACCAAAATGTGTTTCTCACAAGTGTAGCAAGTTGTTAACTCCGCAAAGAACGTTTCCACTCCGAGAACGAGAAATTACTAATTAGTACATGCATCAACAAATGACACGGATTAACGGTACATTTATTCCTCTGTGTCTAAGTTATGTTTTCTGTTAAAGTATTTCTGAATTATTTTATGTATAGAATGGAGTAATTATATAATTTTGGCACATTTCCATTTACTTTCCTACTGGACCCACAGCTATGCCATTTCAACTGTTCTATTGGTTTTCATATCAACTTTTTCGTTGTCCAGAAGCAAAGGGCACAATCCTAGTCATTTCAGCAATCCATCCTAGTTGTTGCATCTTTAGATTCCCCCTCTTTCTAAGTCTCTAACAGAGATTTCCATCTCTGTCACATATGGAACCGCTATCAGGTGCACTGTTTAAAATTGTGCTTTTCCAGGTGCTCTGTTTATAATGGTGTTCCCGCAAATTGCATTTTGGCAAATGTTTGAAAATAACGTTATATTGGCTGCTTCATTAGAGGAGATGCATGTTCTGTTAAATCAAATCAAATTTTATTGGCCACATGCGCCGAATACAACAGGTGCAGACATTACAGTGAAATGCTTACTTACAGCCCTTAACCAACAGTGCATTTATTTTTTATAAAAATGTAAAATAAAACAACAAAAAAGTGTTGAGAAAAAGAGAGCAGAAGTCAAATAAAATAACAGTAGGGAGGCTATATATACAGGGGGGGGTACCGGTGCAGAGTCAATGTGCGGGGGCACCGGCTAGTAGAGGTAGTTGAAGTAATATGTACATGTGGGTAGAGTTAAAGTGACTATGCATAAATAATTAACAGAGTAGCAGCAGCGTAAAAAGATGGGGTGGGGGGGGCAGTGCAAATATAGTCCGGGTAGCCATGATTAGCTGTTCAGGAGTCTTATGGCTTGGGGGTAGAAGCTGTTGAGAAGTCTTTTGGACCTAGACTTTGCACTCCGGGACCGCTTGCCGTGCGGTAGCAGAGAGAACAGTCTATGACTAGGGTGGCTGGAGTCTTTGACAATTTTGAGGGCCTTCCTCTGACACCGCCTGGTATAGAGGTCCTGGATGGCAGGAAGCTTGGCCCCAGTGATGTACTGGGCCGTACGCACTACCCTCTGTAGTGCCTTGCGGTCGGAGGCCAAGCAGTTGCCATACCAGGCGGTGATGCAACCAGTCAGGATGCTCTCGATGGTGCAGCTGTATAATTTTTTGAGGATCTGAGGACCCATGCCGAATCTTTTCAGTCTCCTGAGGGGGAATAGGCTTTGTCGTGCCCTCTTCACGACTGTCTTGGTGTGTTTGGACCATGATAGTTCGTTGGTGATGTGGACACCAAGGAACTTGAAGCTCTCAACCTGTTCCACTACAGCCTCGTCGATGAGAATGGGGGCGTGCTCAGTCCTCTTCTTTTTTTTTCTTCCTGTAGTCCACAATCATCTCCTTTTTCTTGGTCACGTTGAGGGAGAGGTTGTTATCCTGGCACCACACGGCCAGGTCTCTGACCTCCTCCCTATAGGCTGTCTCATCGTTGTCGGTGATCAGGCCTACCACTGTGGTGTCGTCGGCAAACTTAATGATGGTGTTGGAGTCGTGTCTGGCCATACAGTCATGGGTGAACAAGGAGTACAGGAAGGGACTGAGCACGCACCCCTGAGGTGCCCCCGTGTTGTGGATCAGTGTGGCAGATGTGTTGTTACCTACCCTTACCACCTGGGGGCGGCCCGTCAGGAAGTCCAGGATCCAGTTGCAGAGGGAGGTGTTTAGTCCCAGGATCCTTAGCTTAGTGATGAGCTTTGAGGGCACTATGGTGTTGAATGCTGAGCTGTAGTCAATGAATAGCATTCTCACGTAGGTGTTCCTCTTGTCCAGGTGGGAAAGGGCAGTGTGGAGTGCAATAGAGATTGCATCATCTGTGGATCTGTTGGAGCAGTATGCAAATTGGTGTGGGTCTAGGGTTTCTGGGATAATGGTGTTGATGTGAGCCATGACCAGCCTTTCAAAGCACTTCATGGCTACAGTCGTCAGTGCTACGGGTCGGTAGTCATTTAGGCAGGTTATCTTAGTGTCCTTGGGCACGGGGACTATGGTGGTCTTGCTTGAAACATGTTGGTATTACAGACTCAGTCAGGGACAGGTTGAAAATGTCAGTGAAGACACTTGCCAGTGGGTCAGCACATGCTCGGAGTACACGTCCTGGTAATCCGTCTGGCCCTGCGGCCTTGTGAATGTTGACCTGCTTAAAAGTCTTACTCACATCGGCTACGGAGAGCGTGATCACATAGTCATCTGGAACAGCTGGTGCTCTCATGCATGCTTCAGTGTTGCTTGCCTCGAAGCGAGCATAGAAGTGGTTTAGCTCGTCTGGTAGGCTTGTGTCACTGGGAAGCTCGCGGCTGTGCTTCCCTTTGTAGTCTGTAATAGTTTTCAAGCCCTGCCACATCCGACGAGCGTCAGAGCCGGTGTAGTACGATTCAATCTTAGTCCTGTATTGACTCTTTGCCTGTTTGATGGTTCGTCGGAGGGCATAGCGGGATTTCTTATAAGCGTCCGGGTTAGAGTCCCGCTCCTTGAAAGCGGCAGCTCTACCCTTTAGCTCAGTGCGGATGTTTCCTGTAATCCATGGCTTCTGGTTGGGGTATGTACGTACGGTCACTGTGGGGACGACATCATCGATGCACTTATTGATGAAGCCAGTGACTGATGTGGTGTACTCCTCAATGCTATCTGAAGAATCCCGGAACATGTTCCAGTCTGTGCTAGCAAAACAGTCCTGTAGCTTAGCATCTGCGTTATCTGACCACTTTTTTATTAACCGAGTCACTGGTGCTTCCTGCTTTAGTTTTTGCTTATAAGCAGGAATCAGCAGGATAGAGTTATGGTCAGATTTGCCAAATGGAGGGCGAGGGAGAGCTTTGTATGCGTCTCTGTGTGTGGAGTAAAGGTGGTCTAGAGTTTTTTTCCCTCTGGTTGCACATTTAACATGCTGGTAGAAATTAGGTAGAACGGATTTAAGTTTCCCTGCATTAAAGTCCCCGGCCACTAGGAGCGCTGCCTCTGGATGAGCGCTTTCCTGTTGACTTATGGCCTTATACAGCTCATTCAGTGCAATCTTAATGCCAGCATTGGTTTGTGGTGGTAAATAGACAGCTATGAAAAATATAGATGAAAACTCTCTTGGTTAATAGTGTGTTCTACAGCTTATCATAAGATACTCTACCTCAGGCGAGCAAAACCTCGAGACTTCCTTAGTATTTGATTTTGTGCACCAGCTGTTGTTTACAAATATACACAGACCGCCACCCCTTGTCTTACCGGAGTCAGCCGTTCTATCCTGCCGATGTAGCATATAGCCCGCTAGCTGTATATTATCCATGTCATCGTTCAGCCACAACTCGGTGAAACATAAGATATTACAGTTTTTAATGTCCCGTTGGTAGGATAACCGTAATCTTAGGTCATCCAAGATTGAAGATTGGCTAATAGGATTGATGGAAGAGGCAGTTTACTCGCTCGCCGTCGGATCCTTACAAGGCACCACGACCTACGTCCACGATATCTCCGTCTCTTCCTCATGCGAATGACGGGGATTTGGGCCTTGTCGGGTGTCTGTAGGATATCCTTCGCGGCCGCCTCGTTGAATAAATTTTTTTTGGTCCAATACGAGGTGAGTAATCACTGTCCTGATATCCAGAAGCTCTATTTGGTTATAAGAGACGATGGCAGAAACATTATGTACAAAATAAATTACAAATAACGCGGAAAAAGACACATAATAGTACAATTGGTTAGAGGGCTGTAAAAGGGCAGCCATCTTCTCCGGCGCCATTTCGTAAGATGCATTACTATAAACTAAATGTGATTTCTGTAATTCTGAGCACCGTGGATGGATTCCCTAATTGGTTATGCACCCAATGCATATGGGTCCGGTAAAGACCTCAAAACGGACAGCAAATATAAATCTTCCCGGTCACGTTGTCCGGCACCACGGAAACCCTCGTTCATAAATCACTTCAGACAAAACGACGCGTCACTGGCAAAGCACAGAAAAACGAATGACCATCTGAAAACAGGTCACAGAGAATGTCTAAAAGACAGAGACTGCTCACCACTTGGAGAAGACCAGGAAGAACTTGTGTACGAGGGTGGAGGCCACGGCGTTGGGGTAGAGCTGGCAGGTCCTGGCTACCAGCATGGCCCAGGAGACGCCACCCAGGAAGCCCAGGATGTTACTGTAGATGTTATGACCTATGGGAGAACAATAACATAACAGTATATATATATATATATATATATATATATATATATATACATACACACAGTGGGGAGAACAAGTATTTGATACACTGCCGATTTTGCAGGTTTTCCTACTTACAAAGCATGTAGAGGTCTGTAATTTTTATCATAGGTACACTTCAACTGTAAGAGACGGAATCTAAAACAAAAATCCAGAAAATCACATTGTATGATTTTTAAGTAATTAATTTGCATTTTATTGCATGACATTATGTATTTGATCACCTACCAACCAGTAAGAATTCCGGCTCTCACAGACCTGTTAGTTTTTCTTTAAGAAGCCCTCCTGTTCTCCACTCATTACCTGTATTAACTGCACCTGTTTGAACTCGTTACCTGTATAAAAGACACCTGTCCACACACTCAAACAGACTCCAACCTCTCCACAATGGCCAAGACCAGAGAGCTGTGTAAGGACATCAGGGATAAAATTGTAGACCTGCACAAGGCTGGGATGGGCTACAGGACAATAGGCAAGCAGCTTGGTGAGAAGGCAACAACTGTTGGCGCAATTATTAGAAAATGGAAGAAGTTCAAGATGACGGTCAATCACCCTCGGTCTGGGGCTCCATGCAAGATCTCACCTGGTGGGGCATCAATGATCATGAGAAAGGTGAGAGATCAGCCCAGAACTACACAACAGGACCTGGTCAATGACCGGAAGAGAGCTGGGACCACATTCTCAAAGAAAACCATTAGCAACACACTACGCCGTCATGTATTAAAATCCTGCAGCGCACGCAAGGTCCCCCTGCTCAAGCCAGCGCATGTCCAGGCCCGTCTGAAGTTTGCCAATGACCATCTGGATAATCCAGAGGAGGAATGGGAGAAGGTCATGTGGTCTGATGAGACAAAAATATAGCTTTTTGGTCTAAACTCGCTGTGTTTGAAGGAAGAAGAAGGATGAGTACAACCCCAAGAACACCATCCCAACCGTGAAGCATGGAGGTGGAAACATCATTCTTTGGGGATGCTTTTCTGCAAAGGGGACAGGACGACTGCACCGTATTTAGGGGAGGATGGATGGGGCCATGTATCGCGAGATCTTGGCCAACAACCTCCTTCCCTCAGTAAGAGCATTGAAGATGGGTTGTGGCTGGGTCTTCCAGCATGACAACGACCCGAAACACACAGCCAGGGCAACTAAGGAGTGGCTCCGTAAGAAGCATCTCAAGGTCCTGGAGTGGCCTAGCCAGTCTCCAGACCTGAACCCAATAGAAAATCTTTGGAGGGAGCTGAAAGTCCGTATTGCCCAGCGACAGCCCCGAAACCTGAAGGATCTGGAGAAGGTCTGTATGGAGGAGTGGGCCAAAATCCCTGCTGCAGTGTGTGCAAACCTGGTCAAGACCTACAGGAAACGTATGATCTCTGTAATTGCAAACAAAGGTTTCTGTACCAAATATTAAGTTCTGCTTTTCTGATGTATCAAATACTTATGTCATGCAATAAAATGCAAATTAATTACTTAAAAACAATACAATGTGATTTTCTGGATTTTTGTTTTAGATTCCGTCTCTCACAGTTGAAGTGTACCTATGATACAAATTACAGACCTCTACATGCTTTGTAAGTAGGAAAACCTGCAAAATCGGCAGTGTATCAAATACTTGTTCTCCCCACTGTATATATATTAGGTGTATATATAAAATGGTGTTGGGGTAAAGCTGGCAGATCCTGGCTACTACTAAGAGGTTAGCTTTGCTGTTGCCCTACAAGGCAGTCGGCAGGATAGAGGTGAGTCGTAGTAGTCGTAACAGTAGTACATACATTTCTGATATGGTAAAGTATACAATAGGGGTGTGAACGTTTAAAACAGAAACAACTACCACTAACAGGTCCCAATCATGAGAACAATGTGGTGGAGGCGGCAGCGGAGTGAGGAGACAAGGAAACAGCCCTTTCCTTAAGAAAGAGTCAGGAGAGTAAAACCCAACTTCGTTATAAAATCAACTGTTAAAATGTGCCAGGATTTATAAAGCATCCATAAATATCTTCAGAAATTAAAGACAGATCCTGGTTCCGTTGCCTGTTTTGAGTGCATGTTTAATACGGATTCCGTGAGCTCTAAGACTCACAACATCTGAATGAAGCAATTTCACGAATTCAACTGTTTTTAAATCTTTGCCATGATGTAATAAAGGCTTTAAAAATAGTTTGTTAGAACACATTCTGGGATATCTTAGAATTTATTTAGTGTTTACACTGTTCCAAACGGTCAGGGAAAAGAAATATGTAGCCTGATCTACAGGGCCCCCAAAAAATGTTTTGGGTCCACCAGCCACTTTTTTACCAGCCAAAATATTTTTATATCGCTAAAATTAAACCAACACTAAATAAAACAGATAAGCATGCTTTGTAATGTTTCTAAAACCATACATGCATTTCTAGTGAGAAATAATGTGGTGTATTTTTTAATTTCATTTTTTTTGTGACCCGAGTCTAATCCAAAATATCACACACCCAGCCAGGCAGTGTTGCAGTGCAAGGGGATAGGCTACATAGGATTCCTAGTTCTTTGACTTTGTGCGATTAAATTTAACCAGCTATGAAACAAAACTACTTTGAAAACAGCAACTGCAGCATTTTACTGCAAATGTGATCATACTTGACTATTTTTATTCACAAATGCAAGTGAAAGCTCGCACTGTGGAGCCCTGACCACCCGCCAACGTAGCTAATGAAATAGACATCTTACCAATGCCAAAATCTACCAACATTTGGCAGGTGGCGGGGGTTAATTTTAGGCCCTTCTAAATCTAACAGCATCTGTTTGACAGACACTGGCCTAAAAACGCACACAGCGCTCACTTACATTTACGTCATTTAGCAGACGCTCTTATCCAGAGCGACTAACAGTTAGTGAGTGCATACATTTTCATACTGGCCCCCCGTGGGAATCGAACCCAGAACCCTGGCGTTGAAAACGCCATGCTCTACCAACTGAGCTACACGGGACTGAGCTACACTTCTCCTACCCTCCTTCTTGATATCCTTCTTATTGTTACTATTAGGCTACAATTATCATCATAAGTAAGCCAATGTCATTAGTAGGCTTAGTATACTATAGCCTTGTATAACCACCATCTAAGAAGCCTAAGAGCGCGTCCTGTTTAGCTGGCATAACGTAACTTACTTGGGCCTATACTTTAATATGAATCATTCATTAGTTTATGTCAACACAGCATACGAGTCATTAAATACAATTCAAGCATTTTTTGTTTTAAAACGAAATAAAAAAAAGGGAGCCTTGAATAATTAAACAAATAAAAATCGCAACGTCGTCTAAAGCAATTGCAACATTCACCAATGCATGCAACTGTTATCATCTTTGCTCTAATAAAGCCTTTAAAACCTGTTAGTATAGACCTTCTGGGATTTCTTATAATTTGTTTCGTGTTGTTTTCACTGTTCCAAACATACGCATGCAGACTCAGAGAAGTAGCCTACCAGTCTTCCTGCGGTCCTATTTTAGAAACGCCTCGCACCCTCCACATTTCACATGGCCAGTGGATTCTCCAGTAGTTTCCACAACCAAGTCAAATGGTCTCCCGAGTGGCACAGTGGTCTAAGGCACTGCATCGCAGTACTAGCTGTGCCACTAGAGATCCTGGTTCGAATCCAGTCTCTGTCGTAGCCAGCGTCGTCCAGGGTAGGGGAGGGAATGGCCAGCAGGGATGTAGCTCAGTTGATAGAGCATGGTGTTTGCAACGCCAGGGTTGTGGGTTCGATTCCCATGGGGGGCCAGTATGAAAAAATAATAACGTATGCACTCACTAACTGTTAGTCGCTCTGGATAAGAGCGTCTGCTAAATGACTAAAATGTAAATGGTATTCCACACATGACTTGCCTGGCCCGAATCAATTCTCAGAATTTGAGTCTGGCACAGTATGAGAATGACAACTTCAATTCACTTGGAATTTTATGAATTTTTCTTATCTTTTAACAGAAAACCGATTAAAACGGTAGTTTAAAATGTAAAGACAAAAAGTATATTTATCACATCTTTAGTATACAAGCCGATTCCACATGTGATGGTAATAGAGCTACTTGCCAGTACACTAATGATCATCAGGCAACAGTGAAATTTAGCTGGTCCTGCAATTCAGCTTGAAGGTTCTGCCTCGTCTCCCAATAAGCTTGGCGATGCTTATGCCATATCGCTTACAGCTATCTAGCTTCTAAAGAGCACTAAAGAGTTGGGGGTGGAGGGGCAGGGGATGTTTTTGGATTGGCCTTTTAGTTTACACAAGATTTTAAATAAAATACCTACAGCCACAGCTAGGGAACCACATTCAGTACCTGCACCCGGTTGGCCTACAGGCCAGTGAGTGACTCTCTGCTGCTTCTGTTCCAGCAACACAAACATGATTGGACAGTTGGTTGCCAGGCAGAATATGCAAGCCAAACAAATTCACCATGGCAATAAGTGCCATGGTCTATCCTGTGTGTTAAAAAGCCATGACAAGTTTGTTTGTTTTTTAGGCAGGATAATCCTGTTTAGGGAATAGGACCTGAGGGCTGTGGCGTTGCAAGTCAGTTTGGGCCCAGCGTATTGACATGCCATTAGTTGGTTGTGTGAACGAGTGAGATAACACTACCTGCCTAGCCACAACAGTCTCAGTCACTCAGTGTTACACAGCACGCGCACACACACACACAGATACAGTACACACACAAACAAACAGGGACCAACTCAAACACACAGGTACAGACAACAAGCAGGTAGACACAGACGCTTACAGAAGACACTGATTCAACACACAGTTCAGTTTTCCACCAAGGCAAGTGATTGTGCTCCTATGCAACAACACTACAGATCCGACTCACGTTTAGCCCACAGCTTGATGGTCCTCAGAGTCAGTCTGAAGTTTTCGATGTTGGGTACAAGATGAAGGATCTCATCTGTAACTCTGCAACCTGAACACAACGTCAAGTCATTATTGTGCCCAACAAACGCGGCGTCACAATAGAGCCAGACAGTCAGGCTACAACACAATGCAGAGAGAACACTTGAAACCTACAACACAGCAGTTGCTTTCAAACAGCTGTAGGTACGGGTCAGAGGTGAGCCAACAACCAATTGTTAAGAGGCCTTTCAGCCATTCAAACCACACTGTTTTTAACTTGGATCAGTGTACGGAGATACCGTTCAGCAGACGATTTTATCCAAAGCGATTACAGTCCAGTGTATATACACAGTACATACAATGCATTACAGCCTTATTCTAAAATGGATTACATTTTTTTCATCAATCTACACAATACCCCATAATGACAAATCGAAAAAAGGTTTAGACATTTTTGCAAATGTACTTAAAATAAAAACACAGAAATACCTTATTTACATAAGTATTCAGACCCTTTGCTATGAGACTCGAAATTGAGCTCAGTTGCATCCGGTTTCATTTGATCATCCTTGAGATGTTTCTACACCTGTGGTAAATTAAATTGAATTAACATGACTTGGAGAGGCACACACCAGTCTATATAAAGGTCCCACAGTTGACAGTGCATGTCAGAGCAAAAACCAAGCCATGGGGTTGAAGGAATTGTCCGTAGAGCTCCGAGACAGGATTGTGTTGAGGCACAGATCTGGGGAAGGGAACCAAAACATTTCTGCAGCCTTGAAGGTCCCCAAGAACACAATGGCCTCCATCATTCTTAAATGGAATTAGTTTGGAACCACCAAGACTCTTCTTAGAGCTGGCCGCCCGGCCAAACTGAGCAATCAGGGGAAAAGGGGGGTTCAGGGAGGTGACCAAGAACCCGATGGTCACTGACAGAGCTCCTCTGTGGAGATGGGAGAACTTTCCAGAAGAACAACCATCTCTGCAGCACTCCACCAATCAGGCCTTTATGGTAGAGTGGCCAGATGGAAGCCATTCCTCAGTAAAAGGCACATGACAGCCCACTTAGAGTTTGCCAAAAGGCACCTAAAGGACTCTGACCGTGAGAAACAAGATTCTCTGGTCTGATGAAACCAAGATTGAACTCTTTGGCCTGAATGCCAAGCGTCACGTCTGGAGGAAACCTGGAACCATCCCTATGGTGAAGCATGGTGTTGGCAGCATCATGCTGTGGGGATGTTTTTCAGCGGCAGGGACTGGGGGACTAGTCAGGATCGAGGGAAAGATGAACGGAGAAAAGTACTGAGAGATCCTTGATGAAAACCTGCTCCAGAGCGCTCAAGACCTCAGACTGGGGCGAAGGTTCACCTTCCAACAGGACAACGACCCTAAGCACACAGCCAAGACAACGCAGGAGTGGCTCCGGGACAAGTCTCAAAGTCCTTGAGTGGCCCAGCCAGAGCCTGAACATCTCTGGAGAGACCTGAAAATAGCTGTACATCCAACCTGACAGAGCTTGAGAGGATCTGCAGAGAAGAATGGGGGAAATAAATATATATACAGGTGTGCCAAGCTTGTAGCATCATACCCAAGAAGACTTGAGGCTGTAATCGCTGCCAAAGGAGCTTCAACAAAGTAAAGGGTCTGAATAAATGTGATATTTCCATTTATTTAATTTTTATACATTTGCCAAAATTTCTAAAAAACGTTTTTTGCTTATCATTATGGGGTAGTGTGTAGATTGAGGGAAAAAACTATTTAATCAATTTTAGAATAAGGCTGTAACATAATGTAGAGAAAGTCAAGGGGTCTGAATACTTTCCGAATGCACTGTACATTTTAGTATATGTGACCGCAGCGGGAATCGAACCCATCACCCTGGTGCTGCTAGCGCCACACTTTCACCAACTGAACCACATCAGGACCAGAGCTCAGTGTTACCATTGAGACTCCTGATGCAGCGGATGTCAAGGTTCTTCAGCAGTCCGTCATCTCGGAGGTCCAGACTCTCTGGGATGGTTTGCAACGCTAACCGGGCAAAAAGGATGTCAATCTAGAAACAAACAGATCATGGACGTTTAAAAATAAAATAAAAAACGTGGTACATCTCAATATTGGATGTACAGAACCAGTTTTGCATGTTTCCTTGCAATAATGCAAATTTACACATTTAGGCCTATAAAGAAATAATGAACCAAAAAATAATTTCAAATGTCACACCTCAATGCTGTCGAAAGACAGCTTTATCACCGGGACAAATGCCTCCTCAACAGCCTGGAAAATAAAGGGTGAAAAGTTAATGAACCGTCTGCACCTCATTCATTTTTGTGAATGCATCTTTACCTCCAACTCTACCAATACCCACTTCACTCTCACCTACTGGACCAACACAAGTCCTACTCTCCCAATACAATACCCACTTCACTCTCACCTACTGGACCAACACAAGTCCTACTCTCCCAATACAATACCCACTTCACTCTCACCTACTGGACCAACACAAGTCCTACTCTCCCAATACAATACCCACTTCACTCTCACCTACTGGACCAACACAAGTCCTACTCTCCCAATACACCCACCCTCAAATCCTTGACCTCCTCCTGCTGCTTCAGCTTGTCCAGGAACGAGGAGAAGAAGTCTGTTCTCTCCACATGGCGAGGAGCAACACACAGGGCGTCAATGTCTGCCCCTAGGAGAAGAGCACAGGGACAGAAGGCCGTGTTTAGAAGTCCATTCTGTGGTGTTTTGAGGACGTTTGAACACGAGTGTTTGGTAGAGTCATGTTCAGCAGGTACCAAAAGAGGAAAATGTTTTGACATGAAAACGAGCATTCCTGTTGGACAACAACTGTTATTGTAACTTTTGCAGTGAAGAGTTGACACAATATTTACCTTTAGTGTGAACTCCTAACCTGTAGGAGCCAAACGTGAATATCTTCCCTCCAACAGTGTCAATCACTGAGGCAGGCAGATTCTAGGAGACAAAAAAAACAACCAGTCCTTACAACCTGTTGCATCATGGGTTGGTAACGGTGCCATGCGGTTGTCATAACCCAATATTATCTGCATACCAAATTAGCACACTATTTCCCTTTATAATGCAGAGCCCTGGTCAAAAGTAGTGCTCTAAAAAGGAATAGGGTGACATTTGGGACTCACCCATTGACGTCGTCACCAGACCCCTGCTGTATCAGAGAGAACTATCTAAAGGCGAAAGTAAAAGAATACCTTTGTCTCACTGACGTCATGAATCCATTCCTTCACCAGTGTGTTTAGTTTCCCCAACACATGTATTCTATGGAAAACAAAACATGATTTAGAGGAAGTCTGTGGTATTTTGACGTTTAACCGCCTAGAGTTGAACCCCAGCGGAGATCAAATTAGCATAATACAAAACATCCATCAGTTTAAGCTAGAGAGAGATATATATTTTTTTGCATTGGATGTGTTTCAATCCACCACATCCGCCGATGCCTCATCCGAGGTGAAAGGTGACAGAGCTAGAGCGGTGCTTGTCAGACCATGAGACATCCCGAAAATCTGTCTACTCACAAAATCGTCAGTAGTGTCCGAATGGTTTGGCCTACAAACTATTACGACCTCTCTATGGAAAGGTGAGACTCATGAACACGGACGCCCACAGGTTTCAAAAGAGTCGTCTTAAGGTCCCCCGGTACCAGTTGAAATAATGAATGGAAGTATATGGAGACTGTTTAGTGCCAGAAATAAGGGGTTCAATAAATATATATTTCCTGATCTTTCTTATCTCTCTCAGATCTGTTGTTCCATGTAGCTCAGTTGGTAGAGCATGGCACTTGCAACGCCAGGGTTGTGGGTTCGCTTCCCACGGGGGGCCAGTATGAAAATGTAAGTCGCTCTGGAGTGTCTGCTAAAAAAAAGACTAAAAATGACTAGTGAATCTGTTATTCAATGCGCTTGTATGGGCTAATAGCAGTAAAGCAACAAAAAAAATTCCCCACATCATATATATCTATATATATATATTTTTTAAATAACTACATAAGTATGGCACTTTATAACAACAAATACAGTTTACCTAGTATTGACCAAAACCCCAACCTAAGAATAATTGGCTGATGTACTGGCAAGATATTGGATACAGTTCTCCTCCTCCTCATAGGCCGTGTGATACTACTTGTGTCCATTCTAAAAATGACCATTTACTAGTGACAACCATCCTACCTGCGCTGTAGTTCCAGCTCCTCTTCGAACACCCCGTATGGTTTCAGGGCCTCAGTCAGCCTGTGTGTGAGGACCAGGTCAGACTCCTTGGCTTGGGCCAAGCTGATAGGAGAAGTGATCCCATAGTGCTTGGGCGTCTCCCGACCCAACGACACCTGACTGAAAACAGGACAGGACAGGTTGTGATCTGAATAAATGTATGCGCCATGCAACAAATGTTACTAGGAATTTCTATTGGTGTTGTACAAAGAAATATCCACACATCAACAATCCATTAATACAGATAAGGACATGATCAATACAAATGTACATGACAAACCATACAGAAAGAGCTTAATGGCATCACAACACATACAAATGTAGCATGTAGTGTGTGCTTTAAAGTTTGTTCAATACGGACTCCCTAGCATACATTGCTTGCTGTGGATTCTGTGGGTGTGGTGGTAGAGGAAAACAGACACAGCTATACATCTTAATACGGGCTCTGGGAAAAACCACGAAGGCCTAACTGTATATGTGGATTCTGATGTCATGCCTCATATTTTCTAGAATGTTTTGACTGAACAGAGCCAATAAGGACATCGTCAACATCAACTTCGTTACATTTTGTAACGTTACAGTTTGATGTTGACATGACAAAGGCCTAAGAGAACATATTTTTGCACCAAATTGATTTGACACGTCTAGTGACCCATCACAACGCAAAACAGTTCATAAGAGTTACCCCGAAATGGCAGTAGGCAAGACCCCAAAACAGACAACTTTCTCAAACTGTCAATGAAGCCGCATGGTAATTTAGCTGTATCTGACAAATCAATTGCGAAGGACAAATAAAATAGAAACGAACTGGAGTAGTAGCTAGCGTAACGGTTCACAACTGACAAATTCCAATATTGCAAATGATCCAAGCACTCACAGCTAACGTTAGACTGCTAATATCAATTGTATCGCTTAACTTTGGCACTAGCAAACATGTAGCTAGCTAGCTAGCTGGTTCCAAATCACAATTGCCTACTAGCTACGTGCTAGCTAGATTGCGCAAACATATGGTGCAAACATAGCGAACGTTAGCTTTGTTATGCTAACTAACTCCTGTAAATGCTAACTAGCCGTTTGCAACTTCCACTTGTCAAGAACGCTTGAATACATGGGGTTGAAAGTCAGACCGTAATAACGACAACGTTAGCTACTTTAGCTAGCTAATACACATTTCCCGCTACACAACCTGCTAGCAAAAAATACATAACTTGACGAACTGGTTTGCCAGCATCCGTAGGCCCAATCCCCTTTCCAAACAATTCTCTGTCCAAAGTAGCGAGATACTTACAGGGCCATTGTAACAACCTCCAGCAAGTACAATCAGCCCCGCCAAAATTCCCTTCTCATACTCGTTTCTTATTTTTTTTTTTTGCTAGCTATGTTATTTAACCAGCAACCGAGCAGTGGGATTGACACCTTTTGTTTCCACTCAACATGGCGCGTGTTCAAACTGTGCAGTCACCGCAAAAATTCGCTACCTGAGTGAGTTGTGTGAACGTCATAATGTAGAGCACACTTTTTATCACATGGGAACTGTAGTCTTTTAAAATAGATGGACATTTGGCATCTGCCACATAGCCTATATTTTGTTACTAAACAATAGATTTATTCGAATATGTAGTAGGTGGGTATACAAGGACTACTTTTAACAATTTCCACACAATTTTACAAAAACACATTCACTTGAAGAACAGCGCAGATGCAAAGTTTGGTAACAGAATGACAGTTTGTGCAGTCATTCTGTTACTAAACGTTGTATCTACACTGTTCAAGTAAATGTGATTGTCAAATTTGTGGAAATTGTTAAAAGTAGTCCTTGTGCATGAAGTTGTATGGTTTGTTTAACTTTGCAATCATTGTTTTTTGTTTGACATTTTAAAGTGAAAAATCTAAATCTCAGCATCACCGTTCCCTGGAATAGAGTAGAGTACCACTGTAGGAGTAATAATACCAAAAATCCTAGCAGTCAAACAGGGAAATGGTTCCAGTCTTTCCATCATAAATTTTTCCCATAGGGGATTTTACAAACACTTAAAATAAGGGCTGTGTTTTGTGTATGCTTACCCTGATGATAACCATGTAAATCTCTCTCCGACAAGGTGACTTATCAATATATTCACCTGTATCTACCCCCAACAAATGAAATGCTAATTAGCCGCTAATGTAGCTATCATAAAGACGGGAACCACTGAAATGCAGACGCTGTGCCACTTGGCTGTGGGTTTGTAATTTGATTATTTACATTTTAGTCATTTAGCAGACGCTCTTATCCAGAGCGACTTACAGTTAGTGAGTGCATACGTTATTTTTTTAAATACTGGCCCCCTGTGGGAATCGAACCCACAACCCTGGCGTTGCAAACGCCATGCTCTACCAACTGAGCTACATCCCTGCCGGCCATTGCCTCCCCTACCCTGGACGACGCTGGGCCAATTGTGCGCCGCCCCATGGGTCTCCTGGTCGCAGCCTGCTACAACAGAGTCTGGATTCGAACCAGGATCTCTAGACCACTGCGCCACTCAGGAGTAATGTCACGTGCTAGCGTGAGTGTAGCTGAGGCAAGCGCACACATTTTCTTCATAAAATTTACCATTAGTTGTAGTTCATCATATTCATAAAATGATCTTTACAAAAACTCAAGTCAAAATAGAGGAATACATGTTTATTTCTCGTGGGAAAAATAAACAAGGTGTATTGCAAGACTTGATCAACACAGAGCCTTAACAATATCAGTACAAAACATTAAATACCAGTCGACAAGGTCTCCTAGATGTTTGGAGTGTTAACCACATCACACTAATCTTGTGAATTGTTCCGTAATAAATATTCAGCCTGAAAGAAATACACAGAATTGAGATTTTTTTTATAGATTGGCAGGTAAGGGTGCTCTCGAGCGGCTAGACGTTCTTTACCATTCGGCCATCAGATATGCCACCAATGCTCCTTATAGGACACATCACTGCACTCTATACTCCTCTGTAAACTGGTCATCTCTGTATACCCATCGCAAGACCCCCTGGTTGATGCTTATTTACAAAACCCTCTTAGGCCTCACTCCCCCCTATCTGAGATACCTACTGCAGCGCTCATCATCCACCCGTTCTGCCAGTCAGTCTGTTAAAGGTCCCCAAAGCACACACATCCCTGGGTCACTCCAATTTCCAGTTCGCTGCAGCTAGCGACTGGAACGAGCTGCAAAAAAACACTCAAACTGGACAGTTTTATCTCCATCTCTTCATTCAAAGACTCAATCATGGACAATCTGACAGCAGTGGCTGCTTCGCGTGATGTATTGTTGGCTCTACCGTCTTGCCGTTTGTGCCCAATAATGTTTGTACCCTGTCTTGTGCTGCTGCCATGTTATGTTGCTGCCATGTTGGGTTGCTACCTTGCTATGTTGTCTTCGGTCTCATATATACATACACACACACACACTCACACACACACTTTTTTTTAAAAATCCCAGTCCCCGTAGGAGGCCTTTTGGTAGCCCGTCATTGTAAATAAGAATGTGTTCTTAACTGACTTGCTTAGTTAAATAAAAGGTTAAATAAAAAAAGACTAAAAAGAAATAGGCTTCTACTATCTTGAACCCATTTGGTTTGTGCTCATTTCACCAGCCATCACTGCCCTGTCTATTGGTCTGATGTATGCATGTTGTTTCTGTACGTCCCTTTCTGGTGACAAATCAGATCTCTTTGTGGGATTAATAAAGTTTATTCAATTTTAAAAAACGAACAACATTACCAGGAAGTCAACAGGGTCATCTGGCTTGGCCTTGCAGCACTCCATCGTGCCCTCAGTGAGAGAGGGCATCATGTACTTCATCAGGTAGTTCCTCAGGGGGATGAAGCGAGCCTCCAGCAGCTCATGCCTCTTCACCTCAGTCACGTGACGGTGATAAAGACACACACACGTATAAATCAACTCGGCTAAAACAAACACTACAGCTCCATGGTTTACATTGTTGCTGGTGGCCCACTCTTCGATTGTATACAGAGAGTGGTTTTAAGAGTTCACAGATCTGAGAGGACTGGATAGAAGTACGCAATGTGGAGATGAGCCTATATATTCCAAGGGCTACCCATTAAAAAAAAGGCTTCAGAAAAAGCGTTCTGTGACCCAGGAAACAAAACTGCAAAACCATTACGTAGATCATTTTACGAATATGAACACTGTGGTTTAAAACTTGTAAAAGTTGCACATTAATAAATATTATAAAATCACCACCCGGTTGTTTTCGGAATCACAGCGCATTCTGGGTAATTTCCACTAGCAACATTATGAAGTTGTCATGTTACATCTTGGTTACAATTCTTACACACGTTCAGTTGTCCATGCTTGCAGAAAGCAACGCATTTACCAGACCGGAGGAATCCCCAAATAATACGAGATAAGCGTTTGAAACATGCTAAATAGATTTTCTCAGATGCCAGAACAGCACTTTATTTAGCTGTCGGGACCTTAGTTGTTTTGAGAGCTGTGTTAGCTCGCAAACATCGTGTTGTCTTTAGTTTGGTTAGCAGGCAAGAGCAATGATGGCTCTTGTAGACTACATACAGCTGCCAAAACATCCTACATTAACTGAGAAAACCACTGTACATGGATAAAACATATTTCCTAGTTTCGGGCTAAATCTAGATCAGTGAATGCAACATGTGTCGCTTGAGCTGATGCAAGGACGAACACCGTACACACAAATAGTTCTGTGCACCAGTGTGCAACAAAAGTAACCAAGGTGAAACATAGCAGCGTTGCTAGGAAAATTACCTAAGACGCGCTGTGATTGGATGCCAAATATCATAACTTTGATTAAAGAGAAAAAAACATATGTGCAACTTTTACACGTTTTTAATCACACAGTATTCATGTTCATAATGTTAGCTACATAGTCTTGCTGAAATTTAGCAGTTCCGTTTTCTGGGTCACGGAACACCACATTTTTGGTGGGTGGCCCTTTGTCTAATAAGGATTCTAAAATGGAATCAATCTCAATGAGTAATGTGAAAGATGTTTCCTGAAATGGCACCCTATTCCCATTATAGTATACTACTTCTGATGCAGCCCATCTCTTACCCACTCCTCTAGCTGTGCGGCCATCTTGGCCGCGGTCTCAGCCTCCCTCCTCTTTCACTCTGCGGTCTCCAGTACCAGGCGCTCTCCTCCGCAACCTTCCTCTCCATCGCCTCTCTCTCCTCAGGGGTGGGTCCGTAGTTCCGGGGACGGCCCACCAGCCTGGTGATGTTCTCCGTCACAGCACAGCATCGCTCTCCTCCATCGCCTCTCTCTCCTCAGGGGTGGGTCCGTAGTTCCGGGGACGCCCCCAACAGCCTGGTGATGTTCTCCGTCACAGCACCGCATCGCTCTCCTCCATCGCCTCTCTCTCCTCAGGGGTGGGTCCGTAGTTCCGGGGATGCCCCACCAGCCTGGTGATGTTCTCCGTCACAGCACCGCATCGTTCACCTCTGACAGACAGACAATGAAAGACTTCCTCTCAATGCGTTAAGTTCTGTTAAATCACTATTTACTACACACTAGTTCTGATAATTAGGTTGAATATTGGGGTTTCTAAATGCTTTCACTAAATCAGTATTCTATTCCAGCCTTACCAATGTGTTCTGGGTGAATCTCCAGCACGGTGAATCTCCAGCACGATGGAGAGGTCTCCCGAGTGGCGCAGTGGTCTAAGGCACTGCATCGCAGTGCTAGCTGTGCCACTAGAGATCCTGGTTCGAATCCAGGCTCTGTCGTAGCCAGCCGCGACCGGGAGACCCATGGAGCGGCGCACAATTGTCCCAGCGTCATCCAGGGTAGGGGAGGGAATGGCCGGCAGGGGATGTAGCTCAGTTGGTAGAGCATGGCGTTTGCAACGCCAGGGTTGTGGGTTCGATAAAATAATGTATGTGCTAACTGTAAGTCGCTCTGGATAAGAGCGTCTGCTAAATGACTTAAATGTAAATGTAAATGTACATCAAAGTAGTTCAGAACCGTTTCATCTTCCACATTGGCCTTTCTATATTTCTTCAGCCGGCGAAGGTGGCAGAGAGTAGAGAGTCTTCTCTGCCACACCCCCAGGTGAGTTCCGCACCCGCTCCTTTAAGAAGTCATCAGATGCCTCCAGGGAGAAAATAAACTCTGCAAGACAGACATACAGGGGGATCAATGATAGCCATGCAATACTGTGCATATGAGTAATAATAATAATAATAATAATAATAATAATAATAATACTAATAATACTAATAAATAACATTAACCTGGAATTATCTTGTTGTAGGCATGCATTTTGGAACTGGAATAATCCAGTTCCATGTCATCCTCTGGAAAACATCATTGTTTAATTAAGAGACCACGCAGGATGACAGACACTGGAGTTCGGAACCAATAGTTCCAATGAAAAGGTGATGTTCTCTATCGTTTATTTGTAAAGTATTTTGCAATATCTTCAATGTTTCAATTGTAAATAAATGTTGATTTGATTTATGTGTACCATAGAAAATCTCCTCGGCCTGATGGTAGGACTTGGGGAAGCAGTCAGG